GTTATCTTTACTGAACGTTTTGGATGTGTGTGGAGAGATGTGAAGTTGCTGGTGCTGGTGTAGTCTCACTAGCCTTCCTCAGTACGCTGTTACCTGGGTGGAGCTGGATCTCTGGTTCTGGTTTAAATGCCTCCGTCTTGCTTATTATATGGACATGGCAGTCCCTTTACAGGTGCGCTTTCTGTCCCGGCTTCACAAGACCTGGTGTCGCTGGCAGGACTGACAACAACAGGGGAGGTTTAACCTCAGATGTGATTTCTGTTAAATCACACCAGTGTGGAGAGAAAGAGGTCACTGGGGGAGGGGGGAGCATGGAGGAGAGGTCACTGTGGGAGATGGAGGTCACTGTGGGGGATGAAGAAGAGGTCACTATGGGGTGGAGGAGAGGTCACTATGGGGGATGGAGGAGAGGTCACTGTGGGGATGGAGGTCACTGGAGGGGATGGAGGTCACTGTGGGATGGAGGAGAGGTCACTGTGGGGTGGAGGTCACTGTGGGGGATGGAGGAGAGGTCACTGTGGGGATGGAGGTCACTGTGGGGGGTGGAGGAGAGGTCACTATCGGGGAGGAAGGAGAGGTCACTGTGAGGATGGAGGTCACTGTGGGGGATGGAGGAGAGGTCACTATCTTGGGAATGACAGAGGCCCACTTGTTGCTCTTTCTCCAGCATGTGGTGACCTGAGTGGGGTGGTTTTGTCTGCAAAGTCAGCATTAGTTCAAAGCTTGGATTTGTCCTGTGTTCCCACCTGGGAGGAGTTGAGACTTCAGAAGGGAAGGTTTGGGGAATCTGAGACAGAACAGCTCTGTGTAGACAGGCCTTCTGGAACCATCTCTGCCTGTCTGCAGGCTGCACCTGCCTTCATCTGTGAAGATTTGGCTAGGTGCCCACGGGAGAGTCCTGTGTTCTGTTTCAAAGACGGTGGAGGGAGTTCTCTCTGGATGCTTTCACTGTGTCTACCACAGAGTGTAAACACAGAGCCTTTAAAATGTGTGGAATCTCCACACAGGAGCCCAGGAAGCGGGGGAGATGCCACCATCTATCTGCCGTGAAGCCCAGTGCTGGTCAGCGGTGCAGCTGGGAAGTCGGAGCTGGATCCGCGGGCATGGTGCTATGTTGGGGGAAGCCCGTTTCAGTCCCGACTTTAGCCAGGCCTCTGTCATGTGGTGGACACACGTGTGTGGGGTGCTGGGAGGTTGTTACTAATGCTCATCCTTGGTGATCATATTACCAGCCCTCCCTGTGCCATCCACCCTATTCCTGGCACATCCAGATTCAAGCAGGACTGTGTGTGAAGGCCTAGGTCGGGGGACAGGCGGTCCTTGGGTGTGGCCAGGCTGACTGGTGACAGGTCTCTGTGAGCCTCAATTTCCCTGGTGGGAGACCAGGCCTGGACTCTGCTCCCCAGCACGCAGCATCTGACCGAAGCCGCTGGGCTCCTGATGTAACTCTCGCTCACCCGTCCACCCAGGAGCGCATCTTTCTCTGGTGGAGCAGCTGGTGGATGTGAACCCCCAAAGGGTGAGCAGTGGAACTCTGAAGGACTGTGCCACCAGAGCCCCTCCCTCCACCGGGAGATGCACGCTCCCTTCAGGGTGGCTCTGTGCTTGGAGCACTGCTTAAAGGGCAGGCGCCCACAGGTCTGCAGGGTCCCTGATGAAGGGAGCTGCTGGGCACACTCAGGCCAGTTTGTGCTGCTTCCTCCGATGAAGAGCTTGTGTTAGTGCCATGGGACCAGCCTGACTGACGGCGATAGGTCGGTACCCCGCCCTCACGCATCTTCCTGATCTCCACATGTTCAGTCATCAAGCCGGTCCACCCCATGGAGGGTCTGCCTCTCTTTCTTGGACCCTCCACCTTCTCTAGCCTGCTGTCTTTCCCAGTGACTAGCCTCTCCGTTTCCTCCTTCAGGGAGGCCCTGTCTGCAGACCCCCAGGGGCCTGGGGTGCTTTGTTTTCAGGGCCGCTGACCTCATCTGGCTGCACTGAGGTTACCTGTCTGAGGCGCTGTCCTGCTGTCTCCCCTCCCCAGGCAGGCTCCCGTCCACTACTGCGGTTCAGAGTTCATCCAGAAGGTTTACAAAGTGTGCAGTTCGCTTCCTAAACAGCAAGCCTGCTCCATCGGTCTTGGGGCCTAGACCCAGGAGTGAGCTAAGGGAGTGGAGACCACGCGTCTCGTTGGTATCTACCTGATGAGACCCGTGGGGACCCCGTGCACCTGGGAAGGAGATTGAGCTCGCCTGTTGCCATCCACACTGCTGTGCCGTCCGTACGGCTGTACCATCCTCACGGTTGTACCATCCTCACGGTTGTACCATCCTCACGGTTATGGCACACTGTTTTCATTTGGTGCTTTACAGAAGTTGGTAGCCAGGTCTTTCTTCTTTGTCTGTCTGACCTCCTGTCTCCACTGACCCCGTCTAACTTCCTAACAAGGAGAAACCCTGGCTGATGGTGCCTGGGCCTGTGCACGAGAAGCTCTGGCCCGCATCTGCTGTTGCCCTTGGGTGTTAGGAGTGGACAGGCCTCCCAGTGACCGTATGAACGTGGATTTGAGCCTTGCCCTCTCCTACGGCTTCTCCGATCTGCCGAGCCCACTGGTTCCTCCTCTCTTTCTCCAACCCTCCGCCTTTCCCAACATGATGCCGTTTTCCCATGAACTAGTCCCTTCTGACAGTATTCTCAAAGGATTTAAGGTCAAGTTTCTAGTTGTGTTTAATGTTGGTGGTGTTAGTCTCCCATTGATTCCCTGCACAGAGCCCCTACATCTTTTCAGACAGAACCACTTTAGGGAAATCAGTAGGAAACCCTTGGAATTTATTTATTTTTTTAAATAAATAATTCAATTATCTCTTAAATTTGTTCTAGTGCCTTTTATCCAGAACTAACCTGAAGCCCTTAGCCAAGCATCTCTTGTGCTCAGACTGGGTTGATCTTTGGGGCTCTGTTGGGAAGACCACTCAGTGCTGCTTTTCCTCCCTCCCGTGGGCATTCCCATGGCTTTCCGGCCGGTGGCTGGGGGGCTGGCTTTGGGTGGGTTCTCTTATTTCTGAGGGAGAAGGCTCCCACTGTTCCCTTGCCATCAATGAATTACCAACAACTAGGGTTTAACTCCAGGCACCTGAACACTAGTTCTGTGTCTCCCTCCTTTCTGTTTTAAAGACAAGACGTGGGATGAGAGCCTTCCCGTCAGAGGATAATTCCAGGTCTCGTGCTGAGGGTTTACCTCACACAGGATCTCAGGAAATGCAGGTAGAGCCCTACTTAGACATACAATGAGCGGGATTTAGGTTATTCCTTCTTGTGTTACAGAACACGCCCACAGGTGGTGCACACACTTGGTGGCTGAGGGCCGAGCCTCCTCCCAGAGGACTTGGAAGAGAGGCCTGAGGTCTGCTTCTCAAATGCTGGTCCTGGAAACCCCGAGAGCTCAGCCCCACCGTGACCCCACAGACTCGGTTCAGAGCAGGTCCTACCTGAAACGGGCTTCTTGTGACTTCATTAGTGCTTTTGTGTCCTTGTTGAGTTCTTGGCCAGCATTTTCTCCACGAGCTCTGTGGGACGAAATCTTCTCATCTTCTCGTCTCACTACCATCAAGCACGACCAAGCACAGCTGGCCCGAGGAGGGCTTCTGGAGGCTGTGAGCCACATGGCAGGAGATGGCTCGTCTCAGTCCTTCTCTGTGCCGTGACAAGGGCATGACAATCCTCTGGGACTTGTGTTGTGAGGAAGGAAGCCACCTTATCCTCTAGTAATTGGAGTGCTTACATAGCATTTACACACATCAGTAACACAAGTATTTGACTTCTGCTCCAATCATTCCTTCTTTTAGAATCTTCTATGGTTAAAGCTGGAGCAGGTAAACCAGATGAACCGTTTTCTCCTTGCTGGCAGAGACGTCTGTGCACCTGACAGTCTTCTCCCCGCACGTGAGAGATTCTGTAAAATCAAAGCCTCGCCTCCATGAGGACCCCCCAGGTTGGGTCCCTGATGCACAAAGACCAGGGTCCCCATCTCAGGGTGAGCCTCTCATGCTTCTGACCCAGCTTCTCAGAGGGTCCTGGAGCTTGGGGAGCCGGGGGTGCCCTTCAGACATAGTGGTAGGTAGATCCTGAAACCTCAGAGTGACAGAAGTGGCTCAGGATGCATTCGTCCCATTGCTGGCCTCATCTCAGACGCCCCTGTCTGAGAGTCCGGGGTGCCCTGTGTGACCACTGTGCCATTTCAGGACACTGTAATATGTGGCTGTGCTACCCCCATCTCTGTGCTGTAGTGTCTGGCGTGTGCTGTGCCTTGAGACAATTCCATAGAATTGAGAAGCCTATTCCTGAAGACAGACCTGTCCTTGACTCACCAACACTTGTTCAAATGTGCCGACTGAGTCCAAGCATGTGCATATGGCTGGGTTCTTAGGGTGAAGGTAGAGCTGTAGATGCTTTCACACTGACAGAAAACCCACCCTGAGTTCAGATCATCGGTGGGCAGTCCTGACCCTGGCCGGAATGGTGGGCCTCCATGTGGAATGCTGATGGAAAGAAGCAAATGAGTGATTACTAGGAAGAAGAGCACTGACGTTCAACCCTTCAAAGACAAGGTCAAGTCTGTGTGTCTGCCTCCCAGGCAGAGGGGGCCAGTGTTGCCACCAGGCGGCCTCGGCACTGGAGATTCTGCCCTCCAAGTGAGCAGTCTTCAATCCCATGTGGTGCAAGGTTTTCTGAGTCCCAGGCTTGTGCAGTGGTGACACTCAATACTGCTGTCCTTTGGCGTGCGTTTCCTTCCCACTGGGGGGCTTTTGTTCTTGCTAATGTCCAGTCAGAACCAGCCCAGAGCTGAGCCTCCAGTGGGCTCTGTAAATTGCTCAGAAGGAGATGGCCTTTCTCCCACGCAGCCGCTGGTGGATTTGAATGCTCCCTTTGGCCTGGCAGCTCTGTTACTTAGAGACTCTAGTTTACTGCCCTGGCAAACATTTCTTTACATTTGTCTATTTTTATTTCTCCCCTAGTTTTTGAGAGTCGACCAAGATAAAGACAAGAATTGTAGCTTAAACTGTGCGGGCTCGCCTCAGAAACCCCTGTGTGCTTCGGACGGGAGGACCTTTCTGTCTCGATGTGAGTTCCAGCGTGCCAAGTGCAAAGACCCCCAGCTGGAGATCGCTTACAGAGGAAACTGCAAAGGTCAGTGGTGGTGGGCGGCTGGGTTTGTCACCAGGCCGGATGTCTGATCGCTTCATGTGCATCAGCACTGACTCTGACTCGGAGCACTAAAAATCTCAAAAGGGGTGTGTGTGTGTGTGTGTGTGTGTGTGTGTGACAGAGACAGAGAAAGAATATGAATGACTTTTCACAGTATATGGAAAGCAGAGTGATTTCCATGAATTCCCAGAGCAGAATAATTTTTTGTCACCTACACTTTTCTCGAGCTCTGGTGGCCTAGTGGCAAGAAGCTTTGCTGCAATCCCGAAAGTACGGGGTTTGAGGTCACCCGCTACTCCTTGGTAGAAGGCTGGGAAGTCTCCTCAATTAACTGCCTCTGAAAACCCATTGGAGGGTCAGCTATGACTCAGCGGTACACAACCACAACAACAGCAGCAATATGCTTCTCACAGAAGGTGTGATGACAAAATGAAGCCAGTTGATCTGAGCCCCTCACAAGCGCTCCCCAAAGTTTCTGAAATCGTTCACTCGCAGTCGATCTCCTGGCCCTCTGCTCATTTCTTCTGTAGACAATAGCACCTGCCCAATAGCACCTGGCACATCCTGGGGTTTGTTTTTTTTTCTTTTCTTTTCCTGGTGCTAGTTTTTTAGACTTATAATTTTTTGCTTTCCTGACTTAAAAATCAGAATTAGAGTTAACTAGCAGGCTTAGAGTAAAATGCTGAAATGCCGCCCAGTTAATTGAGGGGTTGATTCTCAGCAAAATACGCTGTTTAAACACAAATAGAGTTCTTTTCAGAAAGAGATTTGCTCTCTTTTTTTTCTCATTATCTGTGAGAAGACCACACAGGCTAACAGCTCCTTTGAGACAATTTTGTACAATCTACCCATTAGCGCCAACAATCTCCTCCAATAACACAGAGAGGAGCCCAGCCACCACGCCCAGCATCAGGGGTGCCTGGTCCCATGCAGCTTATGGTGATCTAAGCTAGCTTGGACCAGTCTGCTCTGTCTCCGGCTGTAGTGTGGCTGGTGCAACGTGAGTGGAGCTGTCACACCCGGTGGGTACATGCAAGTCCCTTGATCAGGCCAGGAGTAACCCCCGGGGAGAGGACTTGTGTTGCTGCCTTCAGTGAGGGTCAGTACAGTCCACACTCACTGATCCTGGGGGTTCTGCCTGCGGCCCCTGTGAACACAACCACCTCCGCTCCCGTGCAGCACCCCAGACAGATGACCAGCATGCCACGCTGAGTGTCCACTAAGGAGGGACCGTCTCCCTGCCCACCGTCTGTGCCTGGTCCCTGTAAGGTGGACCTCCTGCTTGGCCATATTGATGACTATGCATCATTAGGATTTTCTGCCATCTTGGCTCATTCACTTAAAAGTACTTTAAGACTCTTGTTAGGCGCTGTGGGGTCACCCTCACTCCAGGCCACCCGAATACAACAGAGCTGACCTTGCCACGGGGCAGATCTTCAGTGTGGTCGGTTCACGTGAATCCCTGCTGTGGCCACTGTGAGCTTGAGGAGCTTCTAACCAGAGGCCTCGCCTCCCTCATCTCCTTCAGTTACTGCTTTGCTGTGACCCCTAGGCTGGCCAGTTGCCCTCCTTCCTCCCTCCCCGCCTCCCCCAGCCCCCGCCCTTTCTGTCTTCCATGATTTGAGTGGAAGGCTACAGAGTCAGTTGGTTTTCTACTCAGTCAGTCATGTCCATTCTGTTTTAGGATGTGAATTACAAGACCCACAAGGAAATTGTGTACTTCCCGTTTCTTACATGCCATTCTCATTTCTGTTCATCTTTCTCACCCCTCCTGCCTTCAGGGTTTCCCACTGGGGAAATGTGGCTCTTCTGACCTTACATGCTGGTTATTCTAAGGTGTGGGTAATAATGCCTGCTGTTGATTATCTTAGGGGTGTGTCTAAGGGTGGCTGTTACGTGGAGCCACAGGAGGAGATTGTTTCAGGGCTCAAGGATGACCACGGGTCATAGTCTCAGGATTCTGCCCATCTTTATTGGACCAGGATGCTGTCAGTATTCATGACTGTGAACTTCATTCCACATTTCCTCCCACTCTGATGAGGTCCTTCTACTGTGATCCTTTCAAAATGGTTCATAGGGTTTCCACCAAACAAGTGTGACCCAGCTCTCCAACACTGGGGTCTTGGACCACAGTGAGGCTTGGCTCCAGGTCAGTGGACACCATCGTTTTGATTGCCACGGCGTCAGCTCTGACTGTGTTGACCTCCAGTATCCAGACTTGTCTTCCGAGGGCCGCTGCACCTCTATCCTTCCTGCTGGCATTAGTACATTAGCTCTTTGTGTCCCGACTTACCTCTTCCTCTGCTGCCCATTGCCAGCTGTGTGGGTGTGTCTGCAGAAGTGGAGGGCATGCATTCATGTTTACTGGCCGTGGCACTCTCAGGGGACACACACTCATGTTCACATGCGCATACACACACCATACGTTCACACACAATGACACACACATCCGTAATTCTCACATATGCACATACACTTGTATACTCTCACAGACTCATACAAAATCCTATCTGTGCACACTTGCATTCATGTAGAATCATTCACACTCACAGACTCATGCAAACTGGCAAACACACACACATGTTCCCACAATCTCTTGTGCACACGCTCCCGCACACCTACGTGCACTTTCACTCTCATGTGTGTGCTGACACACTTGCTCATACAGGCATGTCCGGGCTTGTCCCCTCACACGCACCTCCATACGCCCACAGACACACTGACACACACACTGTGTGCTCTGAGGAACAGTGGGAACCCGCTGAGGCTGCTTGCCGTGTGCGGCTACGTGATTGTCCAGGTCAGCAGCCAGTCAAAGCTGCCGATGGTCCTGGTTCTAGAACTTTGGTGAGGCCTTCTGTGAGGTGGCTCTTACCCAGAAGGCACTGCACTGTCCCCTCCCTGTCCTTTTCTGGTACCTGGGTGCTGTGGTCACGTCGGGGTACAGAGCAGCAGGCCCATTTTAACGCATCTACATTCAGGGCTTCCTATGTTCCCTGAATTTGGCCTTTGGGCCATTTCTGGAGGATCCTATAGTGTAGGACTCAGCTCTCGGGCCTCCGATGGATGTGGATGGAATGGTCTGTGGACCAGGCTCACCTCACACAGCCTTGTGAGGACCCAGGCTGTGGGTCCCACGTGCAGCCATAGACAAGTGAGGAAGGGCCTTCTTTTCCAGACAGCAGGGCCGCAGGTGGGGGACACAAGCCACCCAGTGCCCTGCCCAGCCCACCCAGTCCCCTGTCCAGTGCCCTGCCCAGCCCTGGTGATGTGTCGCCTCACAATTGACAATGAGCCACACATTAGGAGATCAATTATGTCTTTAAAGTGGCCTACTGCTAAGCCAGGGCACACTCCCAGCAGGGGCTGGGCTTGTTTCACCATTTGCTGCTTCTCAACCACAGACAGGGTGCTGTGCTCAGAGTTCCCACCTTCTCCTCTGAGGAACCGTGTCCCCTGGGCGGCTGCCAGGGGATGAAAGTGATTCGTTGTGGTTCACCGCAGAGTGATGCGGGCCTGGGTGATAGAGAGCTAAGCGAGGTGTAGGGATGAAGAACTCAATCTAGGGCTAATTAGTGTGTGCTGGCACGCACATGGAAGGAAAACGCAGGTGTAATTTTATGTAACTCTACACCTCAATCATCGCAGCGGAGAGACCATTTGGAGGTAAGTTAAAATAGCCCATGATCTGCTCTTCAGAGAAAATTCCAGAAGCCATTGCCTTGGGAGCCTGGGAAGTTCGTGGAAGTGATTCCTGAGCCAGTGGAGGGGCCGGCAGGCTCCCTAACGTTGAGCTGAGTGGGGTTTTCCTGCTGTCTTCCCGGCCACTTCTGTGGGGCTGGCTCTCAGAGGCCCTGCGCCCCACCACAGAGCCCGGCAGTCTTTACAGAAGGAGCTTGCCCCAGCTTTCTCCTGAGAAGCACATGGTGGATTCAGACCATCACCTTTTTTGTCCAGCAGCCTGACACACAATGCACTATGCTACCAGGACTCCTAGGATTCTCTCACTCGTTGCTGTTGAGTTCAAACTTTCCATAGCTGCCCTCCGTTGTTTCTGAGGTTTCAGCCACACAGACAGAGATTGCCTGTCTTTGCTCGTTAGAACAGCTGGTGATTCACACTGACAGTGAGCTGCAGCCTTTGGGCTAGGAGCACAGCTCCTGTGGACTACACCATCAGAACTACTGTCCTACAACTCTATAAACTAAAAACAAAACAAAACACAACAAAGCCCATTGCCCTGGAGTTGGCTTCAGCTCACGGTGACCCTGTACAATGGAGTAAAGCTGCTTTAGAGAGTTCCAGGCATTGCTGTCACTCAGGGCTGAGGCATAGTCAGCCATCTGTTGGGTTTCTGAGGCTGCACAAGAGGAGATAGCCCATCTTTCTCCCGTGGAGCCACTGGTGACTTCCAACGACCAGAAAGGTACGATCTTTGGGTTAGTAGCACAATGCCCTACAAACTGGGGATCCAAGGCTCTCCATATAGGCTGTGTTATTGTTGTTGTTAGGTGCCATAGAATTGACTACAACTCATATAGCAACCCATAAACAACAGACCTGAACCCTGTCCTATCCTGTTCCAGCCTCATCATCTCTGACACACTTGACTCCACTATTGTAGTCCACTATTATTATACTATTGTAGTATCCACCCATCTTATCAAGGATCTTCCTCTCTTTGACTCTCCATCTTTTCAAGCATGATATGCCTTTCCAAGGAACAGCCTCTCCTGGCAACATGGTCAAAGCGTGAGAGAGAAAACTTCATCATCTTTACCTCCAAGGAACACTCTGACTGCTCTTTCCCCAAAACATATCGAGTTCTTCTTTTTTGCAATTTAAAGGATACTCAGTACTCTTTCCCAACACTGCAGCTCAAAGGCATAGATTCTCTTTCTGTCATCCTGATTCATTGTCCAGATCTCAAATGATAGCAAGTGGTTGGAAAAAAAAAACCATGGCCTGAACGACACACCTTA